TCTTCCACCAGCTGTAAAAACCATCCTCCAGCTGGGCAGGATGCTCTCGCTGCGCAGTGTTTCTTTTCCACTTCCCTCATGTGGCAATTTCGGGTGCTGCTCCATGCCCAGTATCTCCTTATTTTCGGAAGTCCGTGAAAGCTTGTGCTGGATTCCTGCCCCAACATTCATGCTCTTCCCTGCAGTGTTACCTAAACGCAGCTTCCCAGCTGTGTAGGAATGAGAGAAGGTGGCAAAGACTCCTCCTCTTCCTGCTCTGTGCCAGCTGGCAGCCTTCCATGCCTTTCTGGGAATGCAAATTAATTTCCTAGGTAATGATTGAAAAAAATAGCCGACTGCTGGAGGTGTTGCTGCTTCCTGACACCCTGGGGTGAGGTGTTTAGCAGAGGAGCCCCTTGCTGACCATGGGCCAGGCAGTGATGCTGCGAAGCCTGTGCAGCAGAGAGATCTTTAGGTGGACCTGGCACATAAGCAAATGTGAGCACGTGTTGCACTAAGCTGGGGCTGAATCTCCTCAAAGGCAATGCTTTTGTCTAGGTGGGAGTTGTGCAATAGCTTAAAAGTCAGTGTAAAACCTGTGAAAGATTCCTGGTTTGGTGAACCACAGGGTAGTATGGGAGGTTGAACCATCATGAACCATCATGGGAGCCATTTCCACCTAGCTTGCCTCGGCTTTTAAAGGAGAAAATGATACTGAAACAATTCTTCCTTCTTTTAAACGGTTACAGAAGTTAGGACAGAGCATGGTTAGATGGGAACAGGTGAGCAAAGAGCAGCTGACTAAGGCAGAGAGGAGTTTTATCATCTCCGGGGGCGGAAGTGGCAATGCTCATAATGACGTGTCGGGTTTCCCAGCAGAGCTTTGCTCCGGCCGGACAAGCCAGGCAGCTTGCATGTGATGTAAGACTATTTTAGTGCCCTTACCTTTCCCTCTTTCCCACAGGGGATCTCCAGCAGCACCTGCAGGCCATGTTCATACTGCTGCGCCCAGAAGACAACATCCGCCTGGTGAGCTGCCTTCTTGCTTATCTGCAGCTGCGAATGTGCAGGTTAAAATCCACTTGACGAACACACACCCGCGTAACTCCTGTGAGCAGCGGCGTGTGCGGCTTCCGGTGGTTTTGTCATCAAACCTGGGGAGACTTCTGCAGCTACCAGGAAAAAACGTGGCCGATTGGGAAAGCACGGCTTACTGCGTTGTCCAGAGAGGCAAATTGTACGGCTAGAAACTTCTGCCCTTGGTCCATGCACTAAGCACTCGTGCTCTCAAAAAGGATTGTAACAGCTGCTGGAGGAGCTGGGTACATTAATGTGGTGTCCTAGGTAAATCAGGAGTCGGTAACTTATGTTTGATCAGTGGGAACACCTGCCCTACCCAGATTCAGCTGTTTTTCTCACTGTCTGGTTTCCTAAATTTTTGCATCCCAAAAAACAGTGGCTTATCATGAAGAAGTTTGTGAGATCTCTATATAACTGTGCTCTCGTATTGATCCCTGTCTACCTGCTTTTCTGGGTTGTTGCCTCCTTTAGTGATGTAATGAAAATTAGGTGATGCTGTTTTTAGTATTAACGTGCTGTCCCAAAGACCTCTAGAAGCTGAAGAGCAGCAGCAAGGAATTTGCACGAGACTTGCTTAAGTACTCTTCAAGGTCAAGCATGACTGCAATGTCTCTACATCTCGTATCACTCGGTAGTTTGGAGTTCCTTTGCTGTGTTGTCTGGTGCATCTTAGCAACATACACCCAAAGAAAGATTGCCAGCAGCATCAGAAGTGTCATTCTGGCACCTCTGGATTGCAGAATCCTCAATAAGTTTTGCTGGAGCTAGACTTATGTCATGGGTGTAGGCATGGGTGTACCTAGAGAAGAGCCAGAGATACTGCAGAATGCCTTGAAGCACCTACTCGACTTAGTTGGGCCCACCTTGTAGTCACTGGCATTTAGTGAAGCTGATGGGAAGGGGGGTTCTCAGTGCTTTGCAGAACCAGAGCCAGGGTTAGAACATTGGAAGCTATTGAACAAGTCATTGTTCAGCAATATCACTGGCTACATTGTGTGATTTGGGACAAATTAGCCTTAACAGCTGAATAAGGACTTTGTGGGCTGAGACATAAACCCTTTTGTTCCGAGCTGCATTTGGAATGCTAAAATCTTGCATGAGGTTAAGTTCGATAGTCTACTTGAATCTAATTGATTCTTGACGAACGAAGGGTGTGCAAAGCTGCAATAGACTCTCTCATAAAATAGTAGATACCAGTAAGATTTGAAATATAAACAGTACTGAGAGAAATGCCTTCTCTTCTTGTGTTGGCTGCTGTCATTCAGAGGGCAGCAGAGGAATCTAATCCTCTCTAAACCTACACTTAGATTTTGGAACAACTCTTGTTTCTGTTGGAGCTCTTGGCAAGAGTTTTTGTAGCCTTTCATGAGCAGGGTCAGACCAATGGTACCAGTGTAAGATCACTAGGAGGGGGGAAAATGGGTTTGAAGTATACAAATTGATTGAAAGCACTCCGGGAATTGGCAGAGCGGGGAGCTGTTCACTTGCATGTTTAATAATGAACAAGACTTCTAAAAATCTTCAAATCCAGTATCCCAGTGAGAAATGCATTCTTGTATGAAGCACTAGCTGTTCTGTAGCATGAAAAAGATGAAAGATTGGTCTGATCTTATCTGTTGGAATGTGCTGTTGATAAGGATTGATAGAATATCACAGGGTACTTCTAATGAAAAAGAATTGCAGCAGGAGATAAAGTTGGATTGTGTGCAGGTAAAAGTTGCTAGCCCTGGAAGGAAGGACTACAGAGGAGGACTTCTTGTGCATGCACAGACCATAAACAGCTTCCTCAAACTGAGGGGAAAGCAAGCTCTATGTGGATGAGCTGTTGAGAAAGAACCTTCCATCTTCTGGCAGTTCCTGAAGTTAGGCCGTCCTCCATAGATTGACCGAGATTTCAAATATTCTCATTTAAAAGGCATCAAACCCTTTAGTTAACGGTTGTGCTCCTTCTGTGCAGTGGGCATATCAGCTAATTCCTAATGAAAAAGTTGGAGACCAATTTCTGACTTGATGAGTATGTCATGACACTAATGGTAGTTTTTGAGATTAGCTGGTTTAGAACATGAAGTTTACTGCTTTATAATTCTCATAAACTTAGTCAAATAGTCCCCTGTCACTTCTTCCTTTTGTGGAAAGGGTTAGGTCTATAGAACACCCCAGCAAGCCTTGCTCGTTTTCTCTTAATTGTCCCTGTGAAAAGCCCACCCCCATGGCTCCAGGCCACACGACCTTTGGCCACTGTTTGGCCCTTCTAAAGGGTCTTGTATTAAAACCACACTTCTAATTACCGCTAGCCAAATTGGTTTAGCAAAAGTAAGTTAGATTACGCTAATCCTATTGCTGTTGGACTGGCCTCAAGAGGAGTAGAACAAAACTCTCGTGTTCGTGCCCCAGACACAGGGCAGTTTTTGGCCGACTGCTCTGGTTTCAGACCAGTCTTTGTTTCTGTCTGAGGTTTGGATCCTAACATAGGTAACGACCTTAACCACCAAGACCTTGGTGATTGCTCGCTCTTCGAGATTGAAGAACCCTTTCTGTTTTGCCACGACTGGGTAGTTGTAGAACCAGCGAGCTCTGTCGGAATTCACACCTCGAAGGCCTGACCGCTTTGATCCTCTGTGTTTCCAAAGGAATCCCAGTGACTCGAGGAGCAAGAAGGAAAAGGCTGCTGGTTTTAGCATGACTTACCCTAAGGAGATGGGGTGGGCACAGTCTCTTGCTGTACAGAGCACATCTGGCTTCAGCATTTGAGTAGTTTCTATTGGTCTCCATCCTATGGGACGAGTCCGGAATGCCGGTCAGTGCTGCCTCCTGCCTGCACTTGCTCTTCCACCCTCATCACCAGAGCTGCTGCACTGGGAGGCTTTCCCCACCACTCTCAGCGTTGTCTCCTGTGTGAAATAGCGACCTGTTTGACTGCCACGTGTTGTTTTAAGCTTCGCATTAGATTCTGCCACATCTTGTGGTAGAGACTGACTGGCTACTGGATGGGCAAGGGGTGGAGGAGGTAGGAGATCAGATAGGAGCCGCAAAAGGCAGCCTGCTTATGAGAGCTCCCCGTGCAATAGTCACCTTGTGAGTGTTGGGGCTATTTTTAAGGGTAAAATGACCGTTTCAAGCAAGCCCGCTGATCCCCGAGCTGCTCCGGTCTTGCAGGGAGTGTGTCCAGGCAAGGCTGGCAGGGCTGCTGGGCTTGAGGAATCCAGGTGCTGTTTGTGAAAGATGTCAAATGCTGATTCTAGCTTAAACTGCTCAGTCATGGGGAATTCAGCAGTTGCATCTCAGTGCAACAGACTGATCCATCTGTCCAGAGCACGGGGAAGCTGAGGCTGCGGCGGTTCTTTCTTGTCCGTGTTTGCTCTCTGCAGGCCCTGCTCAAAGTTCAAGAAGTGGTTTAACACTAAGCTGAACGGTGAGGGGTTGGGTTAGACTGTCCAAAGCAAAGATAAGATTCAGTATACATAATTAAGACACTTCCTTTCTAGGGATGTCCTAGTTTCTCTAATTGGGATCCTGTGACTAAAGTCCTTGTTTCCGCAAGTGGCTTTGAACAGAGTCCAAAAAGTGTTGCAAGTAAAACTGCCCACTGCAGATGTGTGGGCAGAGCCTATGGAGGCAGATCCCTTCCCCTGGCTCCTTGATGAGCAGCAGTTTGTCCTTGAGAAGTCTGGTTTGGGCCACTTGCTTTCTCGTTCCTCTTGGCTTCTGAAAGCACTCTGTGCTCCATAGCCCTTCTGGGACTTCATGTTGGTCTGATGCTTGCAACTCAGCCAGACAGCTGCTCTCTGAGCACTGTCACTAGTATTAGGTTCAGAGGGAAAATTCAGATCTCTGCAGTCCCACTCCATCTTTTCTTTGGCACTGGGGTATGTGTGGTTGGGATAGGAACAATTAGGCCCAATGACTGTCACCTCTTCTGAGCAATCTGACTCCAACAATGGATACAGTTAATGACAGGAGAATTCTCTTTTCCTGCCAGGTATGACACAGTGGGGTTACTTCTGCCTGGGAAACCTGCTTGACAAATTCAAAGGGCCAGCAGAAAATCATGTATCAGTTGGACTCTAGTTGCCTGCCCAGCTGCCTGGGCCACTGGTAGAAAGAGTCATATTGGAGCTATTTTATCATGCAGGAGCATAAAGGAAAGCTCTGGTTCTTTGAATAAAGCCTTCTGTGAGATGAAGAGCTCACTCCTCACCCGTCTTGCTGGATGCTTAATGCTGCACGAAGCCACCTAGGCTGGGACCAGCCAGAGGCCTGTGGCAGCCAGCCACATAGGCTGCTGTTTAAATGCAGAGCAGTCCCATGGGAAGGTGTGCAGAAGTCACCAGGAATGTCCCAGCTCTTGAGGAGAAGTTCTGCATGAGTGTCATTGCTCTCCTGGTTACCTGGCTGAGGAGTCCTGGCCATCCGTACTAGTGCAGGCTGCACTGCTGCTGCTTTGTCTGTCACCCAGCATGAAAAGATGACTTGTGACAGTGTGCCCCTTGCTGGCTGCTCTGCTGATCCCTCCTCTTCCTCTCCTAGGCTGTGAGACTGGAAAGCACATACCAGAACCGCACGAGATACATGGTGGTGGTGTCCACTAACGGCAGACAAGACACCGAGGAGAGCATTGTCCTGGGGATGGATTTCTCCTCCAACGACAGGTACTGTCACGTCCGATTGGGGTAATTCCTTGTGTTTGCCCACTTGTGTTGAGTAAAGTGTAGAAACCGCTGTCTGGTGCCCCTGCTTTTTAGGGATAGGCTGCTTCAGCTTTTCCAGGCCAACATCTTTCTGCAGACCCGGCATTTCCTTTTTGAAAGGAGGTGAAAAAGGGGAGAGAAGGGAATAATTCTGAGATCTCGATGGTCTCTGAGGTTCAGTCCCAGAGTGCAGCTTATGCTGCAGGGAAGCAGCGCAGATCAGCACTTGCTCCATTCCTCAGCGCCTCGGGCTCATGTGAAGACATTAAGTGCCCAAAGTGATCTGTGATCGGTGAGGCCCCACGCTGCATCTGTACACCAGGGAGAGAGACAACTTGCTTGCGAAGAGACTAAAAAGCTGCAATTAGAGGCGCTGCACATCAGGGTTGAGCAGAGCAGTTAATAAGAGAGCAGCTCTCAGGCAGCCCCTCGCCAGGGTCGTGGCACAGAGGGCCCGGTGGGAATGTCAGGGCTGCTGGTGGCAGATGTTACACAATATGTGCTCTCCCCAGACGTTAGCATGTCACCAGGGTTTAATGCTTTTGCTTTGTTCGTTTAAATTGCTGCTGACCTCTCCAAAGGGCTGCAGGACCTGGCTGAGGAGAGCAGCTTTTTGCTGGAGTGACTGGGAGTCAGGAGGCAGCTTCACTCAGCAGCTTTGGGGACAGAGCCTTCAAATTTAGAAAGGGGCATTGGGGACTCCCTGGCGAGAGCAAAAGGGCACAGAGGGATGTGGCTCTTTAAAAGCACATAAGTAAATCCTGCTTTAGGTGAGAAATGAAGAATACGGATATTCAATCCATTTTGAAAAGTTTAATACACATGCTTGCTTCTAGCTCTTATCTTTGAGCACAACTGTGCTACTGGAATTAATTTTGTTACTAATCTGTGCTGAAGCAAATTACTTTCAGGAAGTTAATAGTCGCTCGAAAGCCTTTTTGAACTGTTTGGCTAATGAATGACCCTTCAGGTAGCCTGCTGCTAATCACAACACCACCAAACTTAATTTCAAGCAGATTGGTTTGGATCCTTGGCTCAGGTGGTGCCTGCTGAAAGTGGGGACCAACCTGATGCTGCCACTGGCTCCTGGGTCCATTTGCACATGTGTGTGCAGCTGTAGCTCAAAGAGATGCTCTCGGTATATGAAGAGTGGTATAAGAATAACTCGTCCTTGCGCAGGGTGCTGTGGGTTTGGAGCCTGCTATTGGCTGTGATATACCCGCACAGCCACCTTTGATAACTGAGAGCTCACTGGCATTCAGTCTCTAATAACGTAGCAGGGTCGTTTTTAGCTTTCTCCTAGAGTTACTTTGGTTCTGGATGGTCAGTCTGATACACCCTCCCCTAGCCCACTCAGTATTTATAACTCCATTTAGACTTGTTGCTATGGACTCTGATAAGCGCTTGCTGAAAAGTATCACTAAAAATACCCTGGCCACCTTGGGAAGCCTTTTTGAAAACATGACTTTCCATGAGCTCATCTCACGTAGTCAACAGAAATAGCTGCGTGCCGCATCGTCCCCTTGTGCGGGGCATCAGCGGCTCCAAGGCATGTGCGTGTCGCGCGATTTCGTGTCTGCTGCCCCCCAAAGCCCCGAATCCTGCCCTTCCCACCACCTCTCAGGAACTGCAGTGGCAGATGTGGGTGTTGGGGATCGCAGGGCATTGGAGAGCCGCTAGCGCAGAGCATTAGGGCGGGAGGCAGCTGTGTGTGATTCTTCTTTGATGCCCTGCTCTGATAGGGGCTGATTTGCAGCTTTGCAAGATGGAGCCTCCTCGTTTGCCAACCTGCTGCAGGTTGCGCCGGGATTCCCCCACCTCTGCCTTTTTCCATCACTTGACTTCTGCTTTTAACTTGGCCTTTTGCTCAGCGCCGTCGAGAGCAGGTGACTCCGAGGGCGAAGAGGTCAGAGCAGCTGAGAGAAGAGCAGGGTTGCCAAGAGAGCCCGTCCCGGCCGGCCGCTGTGCTTGGCCTCTAGGTGTGAGAGAAGGGGCAGGAGTCAAGGCCGGGCCCTACTGACAGCCCCCGCGGCTTGCGTTACAGCGAGCCCCGCTCCTGGGATAAACAGAAAACAAAGCTCTGGATCAGAGTTGGGGCCAAACCACTTGAGCCCGAGAGGGACTAATCTGTGCGGGAAGCTTTGAGCTGACCGAAGCCCACGAGCCTCCCCTGGCCAGCTGAGCCTGCTGCTGCTCGGTCCTGCTTGCTCTTCTCTTGGTGTTGACCCTCTGAGCCTGCTTAAAGAGTTCTGGGGTCCTGTATCTGCTTCACATCCCCCCGAGATGTGTATAGGAAACAGCACTGGTTCTGTTTGTCCCTGAAGCAACAGTGGGATCTTTTTTTTTTCTCTTTCTTTTTTTCTCCTCTAATAAATGCAAATATCTGCAACCATTCCTGTGAAATCAGAGTAACTGCATGGTGCTGCAGTGGGTGGCCTGACCTTCTGTTTCTTCTTACAGTAGCACTTGTACGATGGGTTTGGTGCTGCCGCTGTGGAGCGACACCTTGATCCACCTGGATGGGGATGGGTGAGTGTCTTCTGCACCTTCTAGGTCAGCAACAGAGAGGCCACAGGTTGCATTAGCAGGCTGTGTTGCATAGGAGAAAGATTCAAGTGATTTCAGAGCCCTGGTAGGTCCATCAGGCCTCCTGCTGTTGACCTGTATTAGGTTAGTAGGCTGACAGGCCCTAAATCACAGTAGTTGTGGCAAGGAACCCCAATAATTGACTTATCTGTGAATAAATATGCCCTGAGACAGTGGCTCATGTGTGTGTTTAAGCTGGAGTAAAGGAGCTTGTGCTGGTGAGTGGGCGTGTGGGGAAAGCTTCTTACAGGGATCCTATTCTGTTTTCCTCCCTAGCGCTTGCAGCAGCGAGGGTTTTGCAGAACATAAAGTAAAAGTGATGTTTCTCTGCCAAATAGACACCTGACTTGCAAACTCCTCTTTGTGCCAGTTACAAAGGCTGTCCAGTGCAGTGCTTGGAATGACTTTTCCTTCCTTGGTAGCTGCCACAGGATCATTTAGCTGTGCTCCCAGCTGTGGCGCTGAATTTGTGTTGCCCAGGTAAACAGCCCACCAAGCCCTCTCCTACTCTTAGTTTCATTCCTGAACAGTGGCCGCTTAAAAAGAGAGTCATCTTAGAGCTTTTAGTGTGCTGTTTTGTGCTAGCTGAACTCTGCAAAGCAAGTGTATGCATAGGGCTGGTGCTTTGCTTTTCTGATGTGCTGCGGACAGTTATTAGCTGAAAAGCTGCTTTGGGGACACGTTTTTACTGTGTTGTTTCTTTTCCTTCTCTCCAGCGGCTTCAGCGTATCGACAGACAACAGGGTTCATATATTCAAGCCAGTATCTGTGCAGGCAATGTGGTAAGCACTTACTATAATCTGTCCCAGTGATCCTTTTTCCAAGGTGTTTTGGCTGCTTGGGCTTTTAAAAGGCAGGTGCTGCTTTGCATTTACTGGTATCTTGAGACCTCCTCAGGCAGGCAGAAGTCTCCTTGAGACGGAGAAGGAAGCTTGATAGGAAAATAAAAATACCTGCAAGTGTTGGTGTACACCACTGAGCTTATAATTCTGTGCTAACAGTACCTTCATCTGAGGCAGGGATGGATGGAATAAGATACTTTTCTTTGCAAAGGGCCACTGATTCGAATGTGTCTCCAAAGCAGAATTTTCTCTTGATATAGGATTTTTTCAAATACAACTGAGTATTTCTTTATTTGTCATAAAAAAGGAAATATACCCTTATGTATTTTAGGAGCCTCTGTCTCCAGTGGGCCATGCTCATTGTGATAGGGAGGAGAGGAGCTGCCTGCATTTTTCTTTCCTTTTAGGGCGGTTCATGTTAGAATGTAGTGGCCATTAAAGTATTTCTGGCTCAAGCTTCTTTGCATTGCAGAAATACATCCCCTGTCAGGGTGTCATGCTTCTGTGTCACCCCAGTGATTTTGACCTGGATCCTTCTGATCCCAGTCAAAGATTTAAAACAGGCTAAAAATAGGAGAGGGGGATTTGTTTCCCAGCAGCAGCTGAAGAAACTTCCAACCTCTTGCACTGAGGGCAGGCAGACACCTCAGCACCTCGCTGGAGTCCGGCCTCAAGCCCTGGGCGCGCAGCTCTCCGTGTCTCATCCTTGGGTGTCTTTGCCCTGCACACAGCAGGTTGTCAGAGCTGCCCGTGTTGGAGACACACTCTGTGTGTCTTAATCATGGCTCAGGCCATTGTAGCAGTTTTCAGAGCCAAGGAATGCAGGTGCTTTTACCTCTTAGCCCCCAAATTGTGTCTGGGCCAAGCAGCAGGGCCTTGTCTTAGTGTGCCTCAGTGGGGACACTCATGCCCTTGCAGTGTGCAGTAACCCAGATGTGCTGATAGAAATCCTCGGATAGCTACAAGCCTATACCCCGGGGGCATGGAGAACTGGGAGCAAGATCCCCCCTTTGGCTGCTGCTTTGTGCATCCTGAGGAAGAAATGATAACGCTGCGGGTATTTTCCCTTTCTAGGTCTGCCCTGCAGAGTTTGCACAAGGCTTGTGAGGTAGCCCGGAGTAACAACTACTACCCGGGGAGCCTCTTCCTTACGTGGGTCAGTTACTATGAGAGCCATATCAACTCCGACCAGTCTTCGGTCAACGAGTGGAATGCCATGCAAGACGTGCAGTCCCACCGGCCCGACTCGCCTGCCCTCTTCACCGATGTGTAAGTAGGCTTGTCTTGGAGCTGTCAGCAGTGCTGCTTCCAAAAGGGGACACCGTTGCCACCTGGGATCACTCTTAATTAGGTACTAATGAGAGGAGGCTTCCTGATGAGATATAACTGGACTCCTGGTTAGGTAAACAGTGGTGGAAGATTTGCTCTCCTGAGGCTGAAGTTTATCTCCTCACTTGTGTTTTCATTCTAGATGTACAACCTCTGGTTGTTTACCTGTTTCCTTCTTGCTCTCAGATCTTGCTTTTTGCAGGGTTAGTCCCCTGTTCCTACTAAGAGGTAGGTGTGGTTGGTTGGCCAAACCCTGGAGGCATCTGCCATAGCTGAGACTAGAACCTCAGCCTTCCTGTTTGCTAGTTCTGTCCTCTGATTCCCAGCCCTCACGTCTCCTGGAAGGAACAGGTTTCCCTGGACACGCTTTTACTCTGAGAGTGTCTAAGCACGCTGTTTATTATAATGTCCTTTTTCCTTATTTGGTTCTTACTGGAGGAAAGTGAAGAGTTTAGGTAGACCTGAGACCATACTCAGACGCATCATCACAGCTGACACATTTGAGAATGGGGAGAAAGAGCAAAGCAGTGTTTCTTGGCTGTGGGGAGTTTTGTACGTGTGAAGTAGCATAGATCTGCACTGTCTCCACCTAAATGCTCAGATATCTGGTGGTGTAAGGTCCAAACAGTAGCTGGTGTAGATGTGTGTGTAGTTTGGACAAGCAAAATTTCTTGGTTGTACCAACACTGAAGAGCCACAACCTCTGTAATTAGTAATCACTGATGGTAGTGATACCATCTAACCGCAGAGCAGTCTGTGTCCAAGTGTGATGCCAATCACGAGGGGTTATTTGCCTTGCTTGCAGTAGGAAAAATGACTTTTTGCTAACCCGAGCTGCTTTTCCAGTATACTAGTGCCATTGCTTGGTTTATTCTCTTGGGTATTCCATTGGAGTTCAGGTACCTATTGGAGTTCAGTGAGTGAATAATAATGCTAAGGCAGTAGCTCAGCTGTGAACAAAGCTTCACACTTGATTGTTTTTTAATGTACAAGTAAGAAGGCCGAAAAGTTTTAGCAGACCTTCAGATTAATATTCTCTTTAGCTTTTCATATATATGCTTTGTGTAATCCACCTTTTCCCCAGTGGCAGCAGTTGAGTGATTTCCTGGGGATACCTAGACAGCACTGTCTATCTGATTCAGTCCTGAAATAACGCTTGTACTAAAAGAACCAGAACTCTTAGGATTTCTATTTGTGAACCAGTAGTTGGAGAGGAGTTGTAGTTGCTTCTAAAAGCAGAAGTCTCTGTGCATTTACCATCCTGGCAGCCTTCCAGAAAGGCAGAAAGGTGGTGTGAGATGTTGCTGCTGGGCCCCTTCTCACTATGATGGTGAGCCAGCTCTGAGCTGCTGCTCTGTCGCAACTTCCCCCGGTGTTAGTCAGGCTATTTTTGCAGTTGATGATAAGGCCCCTGGCAGCAGAGGGTAGAGGAATGCACAAAGGCTTAGCTGCCCTCTCCTCTCCATGTAAGGAGCTTTCCAACTGTTACCTTTCTGAGAAAGGTAGGG